AAAAAGTATGTAAATTTAATTTGGGTGTGCGCGTTGCATGACCGCGCAATTGTTAGTTAAAGTAACGCAGCGCCGTAACGCAAAAAAATGGCCTGGTCAGGAAGTGGGGGGGGGGGGATCCTCTGGAGGGCCATCATGCCTCTGCCTTTGGGAGTCATGCTTGTAACTGTCAATCTTGCAATGCTTCATGGGACTTGTAGTTTAGCAACAGCTGGAAGGCTAGCAGTTGGACACCGTGGTCTGTGGGCACAAGTCGCATAGACGTCGCCTTGAAGTAGCACAGAAACCTTTTTTAAAGTCGGAGCAACTTCAGCTGTGCTAGTTAACCACTTCATGTCCGGACACTTTCACCCCCTTCCTGATGAGGACAATTTTCAGCTTTCAGTGCTATCACACTTTGAATGACAATTGCGCGGTCATGCAACACTGTACCCAAATGAATTTTTTAGTATTTTTTTGAGACAGATAAAGCTTTATTTTGGTGGTATGTATTCACCACTGGGATTTTTATTTTTTTGCTATATAAATGAAAAAGTCCAAACATTTTGAAAAAAAGTGTTTTTTCTTATAAAATTTTGCAAATAAATAATTTTCTTCATAAATCTGGCCAAAATGTATTCAGTTATCTTTTTAGTAAAAAAAAAAAACCCAAATTAGTTTATAACCAAAAGTTATAATTTTTCAAAAATGATTTTACATTTATATTTACTTTTTTTTATATTATTATTTATTTATGTTTTTTTTTTTTGTTTTGTTTTTTTTACATACCATCACCCTAGTAGTACAGTGACTCTATAGTGACACTGTACTACTTGTGGGGGGTGATGAAGATTTTTTTTTTTTACACTGATTGCTTTTACACCCATAAAGGCTGTAACGGCCATCATTTCTCCTTCTCTCTGGCTGTATTCCTGCAGCCATTGAGAAATACTGTGAGAGCTGTGCTTGGTAACAGCTTGTCACATGGTACAAGGCTGTTGTGAATGGCCCTGTACCATGTGACCTCTGTGATCATTCACAGATTTCACACGTAGTCAGCAATGATGTTAGGAAGTGATATCTTGCTTACTACTGTTCATGTGATCATTGATTGACCAATCAGTGATCACATGATCGGGACCTGACACAGCGGTCACCGGATCGCGGTGCCACGTGCTCCCAAGGAGCGCGCACAGGCTGTAAATGCGGGCGCCGTTTATGAACGGCAACCCACGCCTGCACTGCTCCTGTCCGGCCATTTATGTATATGGGCCGGATGAGAAGTGGTTAAGACGGCTCTCGTGGACTGATATGGGATGTCACATGTCATGCGACTTTAAGTCTCACAAGTTGCGCCAGTGTGAACAGAGCCTTACAGGAACACATACCTTAAAAGTTTTCATAGAACTCCTTGTAACCTCCCTTTAGTAGGTAGAGTTCCGGGTAATATAAATGTGGGTACACGTTCTCCTTCCTGTCCAGATTCCTTAAAATACGGCACCTTGAAGGAGAACAGAAAAACAGAACTTTAGAGGGGATGGATAGCCGTCGTAGCAAAAGCATTAATCTGCCCATCGATGCATCGAATTTGGGATGGTTCAGCAGCAGCAGTTCGATCCGTCTAAGGCCGTTCCCATTCAACTTCTGTAGAACTTTTCTGTTGGGAAACTTTTGGCGATCAGCAGCTGCACCTAATCGGCTGCAGCTCCTGATCAATATATTTGGACAGTGGGGGGGGCGTCCTGCTGTCAGGATACAGTAGCACAGCGGGGAGGATTCCTTCCTCCACCATGATTGTGTGAAGGGAGGAGCTCTTTTTTTTTTTTTTTTCAATCAGACTTCTGGCTGATCGAAAAAAAAAAAACAAGGCATCTTTGGCCATCTGCCATAGTGAATATATAATGTTTGACTTTAACCACTTCCTATCCAGACACTATCACCCCCTTCCAGTCCGGACTCTTTCACCCCCTTCCAGTTCGGACTCTTTCACTCCCTTCCAGTCCGAACTCTTTCCCCCCCTTCCAGTCCAGACACTTTCCCCCCCTTCCAGTCCAGACACTATCACCCCCTTCCAGTCCGGACTCTTTCACCCCCTTCCAGTCCAGACACTTTCCCCCCCTTCCAGTCCAGACACTTTCCCTCCCTTCCAGTCCGGACACTGTCACCCCTTCCTGTCCAGGCCAATTTTCAGCTTTCAGCGCTCTCACACTTTGAATGACAATTGCGCGGTCATGCAACACTGTACCCATATGAATTTTTTAGCATTTTTTTGAGATAGATAAAACTTTATTTTGGTGGTATTTATTCACCACAGGGATTTTTATTTTTTTGCTAAATAAATCAAAAAGTCCAAAAATTTTGCAAAAAAGTTTTTCTTTTAAAAATTTTGCAAATAAATAATCTTTCTTCATAAATATTGGGCAAAATGTATTTAGTTATCTTTTTAGTAAAAAATAAAATAACCCAAATTAGTTTATAACCAAAAATTATAATTTTCCAAATTTGTTTTACATTTTTATTTAATTTTTTGATATTAATATTTATGTTTTTTTTACATACTGTCACCCTAGCAGTACAGTGTCACCATTGTGACACTGTACTACTTGTGGGGGTGATGAAAATTTTTTTTTACAGCCATAAAGGCTGTAAAAGCAATAATTTCTCCTTCTCTCTGGCTGCATTCCTGCTGCCATTGAGAAATACTGTGTGAGCTGTATTAAGAACAAGTAGTAAGCAATGATATCAGAAGTGACATCTTGCTTACACCTATTCATGTGATCACTGATTGGCCAATCAGTGATCACATGATCGGGACCTCACACAGAGGTCCCGTACAGCGAGTGGTGTTCCCAGGGAGCGCGCAAAATCCAAAATGGCAGACGCCGTTTATGAACAGCAACCCGCCCCTGCACTGCCGCTGTCTGGCCGTTTATATACACGGGAAGTGGTTAACTAATGGGGGAGAGATGTACTAAAACTGGAGCCCTCAGGATCTGGTGCGGCTGTGCATGGCAGCCAATCAGCTTCTAGCTTCAGCTTCTTCTATGGCGATAAAACCTGGAAGCTGATTGGTTTCTGTGCACCGGATTTTGCACTCTCCAGTTTTAGTTCATGACCCCCATTTTGTCCAGAGATCACGGTCGCTAATAAAGCAGCCCATAGAATATGCGATTTTCTTTCCTTCCATGAGTGAAAGGAAAGAAAAATCGCTAGATTTCCCCACCAACACAGTCAATGGGGATTGGGGGGAATCCCTCCCAAAGCGCAAGGGAGCCTTTCTGCCCGGTAGAACCATGGTCACTGCTGGCGGCTATAACTGGCAGCAGTAATCGCATGTAAAAACTCCCAACGGGCCGGTTGTACGTAAGTCGATTAACGGATGGGTACAACCAGCCTGCCCATAGATGGATCAATTCTCAGCTGAATCGGACGAGATTTAATCCATCTATACCCGACTGAAAGCTGCCCATAGATTGAAATTCAGCTGGTTCAGCAGAGAACGGGTGGACTTTGACCTATCTATGGCCGGTTGTTACACTGACTGTAGCCAAAACGAGTTTGTTGGAAAGCTTTTTGTCGATCAGCAGCTGCAGCTGGAGTCTTTTTTGGGCGTCGCGCATCCCGCCATTTCGTTTGCACGATTGCGTCGGAAAAAACACGCCATGATCACGGCTAAAACGCCCTGCGTGTTTCAGGTGCCGTTCAAATGAATGGCACCTGAAAACGTGAACGCTCGTTTTCACACTTTGATAGCGTGTTTTCGAATCGTGGCGATCTTGCCCGTGATTTCAAAAAGCCTAGTGTGAATGGGGACTTAGACTTACCAAAAACATATGATGTGAGGTCAGACCTAAACAACACTTTTTATTCGGGATCCCATCAGGCGGGCCCTTGGTGGACCTTGAAGGTAAATCTAAAGGAAAGTTTTATAATGTATGACCAGCTTTGCATTAAAGTGTTACTAAACCCACAACAGTACACTCAGTCTGTAGATGCAGTAAAGCATGCTTGTTATACTCACTGTGGGACTTAAGGGGTTAATCCTCTGCATTTTGTAAAAAAAAGTCTGTTTGATCCTGTCTTCTCTAATCCTCCCCTTCTTCTACTGTCCCCAATCCATCTGCTGATAGTACAGAGCCCTAGGAGACACTCTGCATATGCTCAGTTGGGTGTGTATTGCTAGAGAGTTTTTTTTTTTTTTTTTTTGGGAGGGTGCATGTAATCAGCACAAGGCCAATTAGCACTGACCAGATAGAGGGTCAGGGGTCATACAGCCTCATAGGACAGTCAGAGGAGAATGAAAACTCCTCCTACAAGATTAACTAGTGCTCGGCTGGATCCCCATATAAGACTGCTATATACTGCTGATGAGAAAAGGGATTTATCAGTTTATATTTACTAAAATAATTGCATTTCCATGTTGTGTGTACTATGGGAGACCAGATATAGTGAATGCAGGGTCCGGGGAGAGGAGATATAGTGAATGCGGAGTCCGGGGAGAGCGGATATAGTGAATGCGGATCCGGGGGAGAGCAGATATAGTGAATGCGGATCCGGGGAGAGCGGATATAGTGAATGCAGGGTCCGGGGAGAGCGGATATAGTGAATACGGGGTCCGGGGGAGAGCGGATATAGTGAATGCGGGGTCCGGGAAGAGCGAATATAGTGAATGCGGGGTCTGGGGAGAGTGGATATAGTGAATGCGGGGTCCGGGAAGAGCGGATATAGTGAATGCGGGGTCCGGGGGAAGCCGATATAGTGAATGCGGGGTCCGGGAAGAGCGGATATAGTGAATGCGGGGTCCAAGTGGAGCGGATGTAGTGAATGCGGGGTCCGAGGAGAGCGGATATAGTGAATGCGGGGTCCAGGGAGAGCGGATATAGTGAATGTGGGGTCGGGAGAGCGGATATAGTAAATGCGGGGTCCGGGGGAGAGCAGATATAGTGAATGCGGTGGCCGGGGAGAGCGGATATAGTGAACACGGGGGCTGGGGAGAGCGGATATAGTGAATGCGGGGGCCGGGGAGAGCGGATATAGTGAATGCGGATCCGGGGAGAGCGGATATAGTGAATGCGGGGACCGGGGAGAGCGGATATAGTGAATGCGGGGTCCGGGAAGAGCGGATATATTGAATGCGGGGTCCGAGGAGAGCAGATATAGTGAATGCGGGGTCGGGAGAGCGGATATAGTGAATGCGCGGTCCTGGGAGAGCGGATATAGTGAATGCGGGGGCCGGGGAGAGCGGATATAGTGAATGCGGGGTCTGGGGAGAGCAGATATAGTGAATGTGGGGACCGGGGAGAGCGGATATAGTGAATGCAGGGTCCTGGGAGAGCGGATATAGTGAATGATATAGTGACTGTAAACCCTTCCATACCCAGGGAAGTGACCGTCCTCAGGTGACACACAGAGATGAAACAAATCCTCCTACATAAGTTGTACCTGTTTATCTGCGGTATTCTCTCCTCTACATTCGTTTAAAGTGCAGAATTTATAAAGCTTGTCGGAGAGTTCAGAAAAAAAGGGTGGAGCTGAAATTACACCCAGTGAGAATTCTGAGTGCTGATTGGAAGGAAGAGACCCCCCTTTCCCCCTGCACACAGCACACAGGAACAGAGCCGAGGCTGTTAATCTGCTGGAAGTCCCTCCTCTGTCACCATGTATCTCTTGGTGTCAGAAAAACTTGTCAGAGGAAGGAGGCAGCAGACAGAAATGACACTGGACTGTCTGGACTGAGACAAGGACACACTATAGACGGATATGCTTTGTTCATATTTCATGAGGTTTACAGCCACTTTAAGTTGCCATCTAAAGCCAGCCATATGCGGGTCTATTTCCGAAATAATCTTTTCTAAGAATTTTCATTTGAATTTCGCACCATTAGTGGGGCCAGAGCAACGGGCGGTTTTCGTGCGTGCGACCATCAAATTTGATCGGGCATGTTGGAAATTTTTTGAAAAACGAACAAATTTCTAATCAATGATGGGAGAGTTGTGTAAGCAATGTCATCGAAAAAGAAATGAGCGTCAACTGTGACCTGTAAAAAAAAAGAAAATTCAAGGCCACGAAAACTCTTTTCTGTAGCAACATGAGGTTTGAAGCTTGGTTGGTCGAATTTTGAAATCAATGGTGGCACCATCGGGTTACAGAACGCACAAGATTTCCTATTTTCTAAAGAAAACTCGTTCAGAATTCGACCCATGTATGGCCTGCATTAGTGCTCTGGACTGAGACAAGGTCACACTATAGAGGGATATGCTTTGTTCATATTTCATGAGGTTTACAGCCACTTTAAGTTGCCATCTAAAGCCGGCCATGCGCGGGTCGAATTCCGAAATCTTTCTAAGAATTTTATTTCGAATTTCGCACCGTTAGTGGGGGCACAGCAACGGGTGGTTTTCTAGCGAACATCGAATTTGAGTGATCGGACATGTTGGAAATTTTTTGAAAAATGAACAAATTTCTAATCAATGATGGGAGAATCGTGTGAGAAATGTAATCAAAAAAGAAATGAGCGTGAGCCGTGACCTGGAACAAAAAAATTCTTGGCTGCAAAAATTCTTTTCTGCAGCAACATGAGGCTTTAGGCTTGGTTGATTGAATTTTGAAATCAATGGTGGCACGATCGGATTACAAAACACACAAGATTTCCGATTTTCTAAAGAAAATTTGTTCGGAATTCGACTCGTGTATGCCCTGCATTAGCATCTGTTTTCCATGGTGCTGGTCATGTGGTCAGTTATGACCCCGGCCATGTGATGGTTTGACAGTTGGGTTGAGAGCCAGACTAGTCATGTGACAGTTATTGATCCGCACGCCTTGAATGTAACTGTCTTGGGAAACCGTTAGCTCAGTGGACTTAGCAGCCATTGTAATGACTGGTGCTGGGTTTCAGCCCATCGCCTCTCTGGGTGATTCGGTGTTGACCAACTTCATATGAGCCCATGTCTTCTGCCTGGACCTGACCACTCTCCTGTGTGAAACGTCTCTGTCCCATAGCCATGCAGCAACCCTTTGGTGGGGCCATCCCGAGGGCCGGTTTGCAGGAAAGACAGGAACCAGGAGGGTCTCCAGCCCATCGCCTCTCGCTGGGTGCTTTGGTGATTACCAACTTCATATGAGCCCATGTCATCTGCCTGGTGGTACCACTACCACGTGCTAAGACACACTTCAGACAAATGTAAGTACAGTTAACCCTTCGTCTAGGTTTATGTATTTTGCAGAAATCCACAGCAGTCCATTTAACTTTTTTCTATGGGACGGGTTCACATCTGCGCGTTTTCACCCGGGGCATTTTTTGGAAAGGGTCAGGGACTTTTTTAAATGCAAAAAGTTGCGTTTTTTTTCTGGTTCTATAGACTCCAATGGAGACGCTGCAGAAAAGCATGTAGTGTGTTTTTTAATCTTCCCAGCAACAAATTGGACCCCCCCCCCTGCAAAACGCATCAAAAACACGTGCAAAAACGCACCACAAAAAGAACTGCAGAAACGGATCAAACTACAAACTACATGACTAGCCTTTAATGGATAAGTTCACCTTTCGAAACATGTTACTCCCAAATTCCCAGCAGTGTTTGCGGCTGTTGGTTTGTAGTTCTCAAAAAAACTACCTCGGCGATGTGGAGCGCCGTGGTGTTTCATTGGTTCTTCCTGTCGGTAAATCTGCTTGCTCTTACATCCTGCACAGGTAAGCAGATGTGTTGACAGGTCTGCAGGAGTCCTGCATGACACCAGCGGTCTGTGGACAGCTGGGGCAATGCTTTAGAGCAGTGTTCCTCAAACTGTGGCCCAGGGGCCAGATGTGGCCCTTTACTTGCCTTTATCCGGCCCTTGTGGCACTATTCCTTCTGCTGACACCAACAATGGTAGTATAATTCTTGCCACTGACACCAACAATTGAGCACAATTCCTCCTACTGACACCAATCATAAGACACTATTCCTCCCACTGACACCAATGATGGGGCACTGTTCCTCCCACTGATACCAATGATGGGGCACTATTCCTCCCACTCAAGATGGGACACTATTGCTCCCACTGACACCAATGATGGGGCACTATTCCTCCCACTGACACCAATGATGGGGCACTATTCCTCCCACTGACACCAATGATGGGGCACTATTCCTCCCACTGACACCAATGATGGGGCACTATTCCTCCCACTGACACCGATGATGGGGCACTAGTCCTCCCACTGACACCAATGATGGGACATAATTCCTCCCACTGACACCAATGATGGGGCACTATTCCTCCCACTGACACCAACGATGGGACACTATTCTATAGATCGTTGTTTGAAGTTCTGTATGCGAAGGGGAAGGCGGATTTGGTGGTACGCACAGTTTTGGAGCTCTCTCCGAGGAGAATTCACAATGAAATATCAGCACTGCCCGACTCTCGGGAACAGCCGGCGTCTTCAGAAAATATTCAGACATGTCTTCTTCTTTGTATAAGTTCCAGGCTCCCTGTGTGAGACAACAAAGCAAAGCTGGTAATACCACCAACAAAACAATAATGAGAATGCGACGTCACAGCCAGGGAACGATGAACAACGCAGCAAAACGACTGCAAGATTGGTTTAATGTCTGTTGGATTGGAATCCAGATGTCATTGATGCCCAGGCCGCCATTGTCAGGACATATTGTACAGCGCTGAGCAAACTGCGGGCGCCATATAAATCCTGTATAATAATATGGAAGCAATGAGATTTACTGAACACAGACAGTGCTGGACATTGAGGCGTCATTCACTTGTGCGACTGCGACTTTGATGCGACTTTACACTCTTTGGGCTCCAAGTCGCATCAAAGTAGTGCAGGAACCTTCTCAAATCACTGCACCACTCCAGAGGATTCCTCCCCCCTTCCTCTCCAGGCCAATTTTTGCGTGGCATTACTTTAACTGACAATTGCGCAGTCATGCAACGCTGCACCCAAATCAAATGTGTGTTCTTTGTTTCCCACTAATTGAGATTTCTTTTGGTGGTATTTGATCACCTCTGCGATTTTAATTTTTTGCGCTACAAACAAAAAAAGATCTACAATTTTGAAAAAAAAAAAGCAATATTTTGGACTTTTTGCTATTAAACATGTCCAGAGAAAAAAATTTAAAAATCAAATTTCATTATAAATTTCATCCAAAATGTATTCTGCTCTGTGTCTTTGCTAAAAAAAAAAAATCCCAATACGTGTAAATTTATTGGTTTACGTGAAAGTTATAGCGTTTACAAATGGCGGTATATGTACTGGGTGTTTTTTTTTTGTTTTGTTTTTTACTAGTAATGGCGGCGATCAGCGACTTATAGTGGGACTGCGGCTGACATTCTGACACTGGGGGGGAACTGACATGGTGTCACAGACATCCCCAGTGACACAAATACAGTGATCAGCGCTAATAAAAAGCACTGACACTACTAATAGTACTGGGCAGGAAGGGGTTAACATCTGGGGGGATCAAAGGGTTAACTGTGTGCTGTGTGTGTTTCATTGTACGCATGCTGCTATGCAGAGCCATACAAAGCAGAGTGCAGGAGCTGACAGGGGAGAGAGATGTATTTTTTACATACAGGTCTCTCCCCCGTCAGTGATACACAGCGATCGCCGGGTAATATATATACACGTGATTTTGCGCACCCTCACCGCCCTGTAGCAGTATTTCTGCTATAGGGCAGCGTGGAAGAGGGTTAAAGTAGTTGTAAAGGCTAAAGGCATTCTATGCATCTATGAGTCCTCCTGCACACGGGACGTATTTACAGCGGCTGTTTTTGGCTTTGACGTTTTTTTTCTACAGCCAGTAAACCCCCCAGCATGTTATCCTATGTGTCCATACACACAGGAATCAACGTATTTTGGCTGGAAAAAGAACACAGAACTAATGGACTTCTAGAAGAGTTTTTTTAGCTGTAAAAACGTTCTAACGCTGAAAAATGCCGCAAACCAGTGTTGTTTTGACCAAAAAAATATTTTTTTTGGTAAAAAAAAACCGATAAAAAAAGCAACTACAGAAAAAACGCAGGAAACCTCTACTAAACGCGATTGCAAAAAAACTTAAAAAGTTTTTACTGTGACTTTACACAGCTAACGTTACCAGTGTTATCAAAACGCTCCGAGTGCGTTGAGCCTGAAGGTAAAAAACCTCCTCTGTACAGCAGCTCCCCCAGCCCCCTCAATACTTACCTGAGCCTCATCACAATCCAGGAATGTGAATGACAGCCTCGCCTGTCCCGGATCTCTGCCTCCTTATTGGCTGAGACAGCAAGAAGGAGCCATTGCCTGTCAATCACAGCCAGCCAGTCAATAAGGAGAGAGGAGGTGGAACCAAGCTACGGCTCCGTGTATGAATGGACACATGGAGCAGCGGGTGCCCCCATAGCAAGCTGCTTGCTATGGGGGCACCTGAGAGACAGGGGG